AGCACCCTGCAGGGCCGGAGAGCTGGACCGAGCGGATCCGATCGGTCCGGGCAGAGCAGCAGGACCGCCAGCCTCGTTCCCACCAGGCCTCCCCGATCCCGCCACAAACTGGGGTCCGAGGCGCCACTGCCGCTGCTCGACCGGACTGCTCTTCAGCCTCCCGGCGGTCTCACGCGGACCGGACCCCCTCCGCCAGCGCCGCGGAGCAGCAGGACACGGCGGGGAGGGTTCCGAACGACCGGGCCGGAGCGCAGGACCCCCCAAGTTGGACTGGGCTGGACTGCCCGGGCCCCCCTCTCCCCTCCCCCAGCCCCGGGAGGGGAATCACTTGCCCCCCAGGCCCAGTCCGCTGTGCCCCGCCTCGGGGTCCGCCAGCGACGACGCGAAGGCCGACTGCACGATCTGGAAGCCGAAGGACTCCAGGAGGGACATGTTCTGCTGCGGGGAGAAGGGGGAGCTCAGGGCGGGGGCCAGGTCGCCCAGGGGCCCCGGGGCCCCCACCAGCCCCTTCTGGGGCCCCACATGCGCCTTCTGCATGTGCTTGCTGAGGTACGACTTGGAGCGGAAGGCGTGGCCGCACTCCGTGCAGGTGTGCTTCTTGTCGCCGTCGGGCCGGAGCTTGGGGGCGCCCCCCCCGGCCCCCGGCCCGCCCCCGCAGCCGAAGCCCAGCCCCTCCTCCTCCGCCTTGTGCTGCTTCAGGTCCCCGCCGTCCGACAGCTCTCCGAACGAGGCGTCCGAGCTCTCCTGGGAGTCCTGGTGCGGGCACTTGGTCACCTCCTCCTGGCCGTCTGGAGAGGGAGCAGACAGAGGGGGGGGGGGAGGTCAGGAGCGCAGGCCCGGGGGGGGTCCCCGACACCACCCAGCACTGCCCCTCGCACCCCAGGGAGGACAGAGCCCCGTCTCCGGGCACCCCCACAACACGAACCCCTTTCCTGACGTCAGGGCGCCTCTGCTGCCCTCTGCTGGCTCAGGCCTGCCACTGCGGGCGCACCGGGGCGACGGACTGCGGATCAGGTGGCAAAGACACACAGGCGTCAAACAGAGGAGCAGGACGCTCGGGGGGGGAGGCGATGCAAGACGGACACGCGGACATCAGAGGTCACAAACGAGAGACCGCGGGCAGGCAGGATCGGGGAGATCGGGGTGTCTCTCCTGCTCCGCCACGCCTCCCACACCCTCGTCCCC